TCTTAGTGGTTTTAGGATGATAGAATTTCAGGTGATTTTTTTTTTTAATATTTGTATTTTTATCAGTTGCTTAATTTTTCTAAATACATGTTATCTTTATACTCATATAACCAAAACCAACAGCAACAACAAAACTATTTTCATTTTAGAAAAAGCAGATAGAAAAATTTAAGAGAACCGAAACCACAGCTGGAGCAGCCCAGTAGAAGCCTGTGGAGACAGGGTAAGGAGGGCTGGCAGTAGCTCCACCGTCCCACAGGCCTTGCCTTTGCCTGACCGACACTCTTCAACCTTAGTCTTGAGAAGGCAGGATTCACAGGGCTGCCCTGCTCCCTGTTATCTAAGCTCCTGGAGGGCAGGGACCCCCTGTAACTTCAGGTGCTTCTTTACAGATGTGGGCATACGGCAGATGTAGGATACACTTCCCCTCTCATCTGGCAACTGCACTACCCTACTTCCTGGTTTTCTGCTGCCACTCTTGGCACCACCCCCTCACCCCCTCCCACAGTCCATTCTGCACACAGCAGCAAAACAGATGTCATTCTGCTAAAACCATAAACTGCTTCCCATAACCTACAAGGCCAGATCTGGCCCCACCGGCCTCCCCAGCCTCAATGCGTTCCACTAGTCTCCGCTCTGGCCTCCTTTCAGTCCCTTTTCACCTGCTACCCCCTCTGCCTAGAATGCTCTTCCCTCAGATCTCTCTTGTCATTCGGGTTAGGTCTCAGTTCAAATATCACCTCCTTGGAGAAGCCTCCCTTGATCTCCATACGTTCCCCCTCACACACTATCCTGCCACCTGGTTTTACTTCTTCCCTAGCACTATTACCCCCTGAAATGACTTAGCGTGACTACCCTTTTGTCTCCTAGACTCCCTGGAGTACTGTCCCTGTCCGGGGAAGGGACCTCGTCAGTTTGTCCCCCACTGTCCCCTGAGCAAGGAGGTCAGTGCTGCCTCATGTACAGTGGGGCTCCCAGGGAAACCTTGGTGGGGTTGACCGTCCACAAGTCACAAGGTCTAAGGGTAAGACACCTGTTTTCTGCTACTTTCCCTGGAAGCAGAGCGCAGGTCCACAGCCCCGTCTTGCAAACTGACACTCAGCAGAGGAGGGCCCAGGCAGTGGCTGTTGAATGCTTTCTGCCCTCTGGGCCTGACATTTATAGAGCATTTAGCCTGTGTCAGGCACTGAGCAAAGTGCTTTATGTTTGCGCCTCACAACCACCATGCAAGGTGAGTACCACTCCCCCACTCTACAGATGAGGCCTACGGAAGCTGACTGACCCACAGGTGGCTCAGTTGGGATTTGAGTCCAGGCTGTGATGGCACAGCAGGCCCGAGTCCTCAAGGACTTCTGCCGCTGAACCAGTCAGCTCTCAGGAAGCAGGCAAGTCAGCCAAAGCCACCTGCCCTCGGTGCTGTGTCCTTTGGGGAGATGGATCTCTTGTTTATTTATTTATTTATTGTACTTTAGATGAAGGTTTACAGAGCAAATTAGTTTCTCATTAAACAATTAATACACATATTGTTTTGTGACATTGGTTGCCAACCCCATGGTATGTCAACACTCTCCCCTTCTGGACCTTGGGTTCTCAGTTCCCAGCTTTCCTGTCCCCTCCTGCCTTCTCTTCCTTGCCCCTGGGCTGGTGTGCCCCTTTAGTCTTGTTTTGTTTTATGGGACTAATCTTTGGCTAAAGGGTGAACCTCAGGAGTGACTTCAGTACTGAGTTAAAAGGGTGTCTGGGGGCCATACTCTCAGGGTTTCTCTAGTCTCTTTCAGACGAGTTTAAGTCTGGTCTTTTTTTGTGACTTAGATTTTGTTCTACATTTTTCTCCAGCTCTGTTCGGGACCCCCTATTGTGATCCCTGTCAGAGCAGCTGGTGGTGGTAGCCGGGCACCATCTAGTTGTGCTGGACTCAGTCTGGTGGAGGCTGTGGTAGTCTTATTTGTAAGCTAGCACATTGAAAAAACGCAGTGCCTCAATGAGGTCTCTGTGGCGTGTTGGTAATGCGGCCTGGATTCAATGGCCAGCGCAGCCACTTACCACCTGGTTACTTAGTCTCTGCACCCATTTACTTATCCGTAAAGTGGAACCAATACCCACATCTCAGGTCTGTTGTGTGAAAATACCAAACACAGGTCAGGCCCGTGCAAGGCGCTCCCGCATGGCTGGCCGACTGAATTTGTAGACACCTGCAGGCAGGCTGGCCAGACTGGTATTACTGGAGGGCACGAGGGGCGCCATCCACAGTAACCAACACCCACTTCTCCCCATCACCAACACTTGTTGGTCAACAAGTAAGCAACACTAGTTCAATGAGGTCACTGTACCAAGGTGGGGAGAGGTCCTTGGGGTCATAGACCCAGCCTGTAGACAAGCTGAAGCTAGAAGTGAACATTGATTGGTAAGGTCAGCAACCCAATGACCAAGATACCCTGGGGAAAGATCTCACAAGTTGGAGCCAGCCGACTAGGCTTTGGGTCTTACCTGGCTATCTCTTGGAAGGTGACCTTGGGCAAGTAGTATTCTCTCTGGGCCCTTTCTCCATCTTTATAAACAGATGGTGAAAGTCATATATTCTGCCTTACTATCGTTACTTCTTATCCACAAGGCTTCCAACCAAGCAAAGGAGACATATCCAGACTCAGAAAAGTTAAGCTCAGAGGGAGACAGATCAGGAAAGATGATGCTTCATGGTGTACACATCCCCAGCCCTTCAAAGAAGGACACAAACACAGCAGGCAGAAATGAGTTTATTGCATTAGAAAGAACACCAAAGAAAACCAGTAAACACCTCCATACTAGATATACTTATTAGTTGGACTTCAAGTGCATAAAGGAATTTCAAAGGTACAAGCTTAATTTCTAGGAGGGGGACAGTCTCATCCCTCCTCCTTCCCTGTGCCTTTAAACCCATGGACCTCTATGGAGGTGGTTTCATTGTGTGATGCAATCACACACGTGACTCATTTCCCACTCGGCTTGCCTGCACACACCCTCGTGGAGTTGGCTGGTCACAATAAGCATGCTCCTGAGGTTCAGGGGTAGACACAGAAATCATAGGACGGGGCTGGGGTCCTGGCTAGTGATGGGGGAGGGGGCTGGAGTGGGGAAAGGAGGGAAAGCTTGCCTTCCTGCAGAGCTCTGGAAAGACTGCTGACTGCCCCCTACATCTCCCCTACAGACCCTCGGGCACAGGCATTGGCACAACTGGCCGCTGGGCACGAATGGGGCTGTTCAATGAAGCAAGCAGCTCCAGTTCTCTCAGGGACCCACTTACGTAAACTTCTTGGGATAGCTGTGGGTCTGGGGGTGATGCTGAGAGGAGAAGAACCCACTGAGCTTGAACATGGGGGTGGGGTGGGAAGAAAAGGAGCTTGTGATGCCTGGTACCCTCTAGTTAGAGAAAGAGAGAGAGAGGGAGGGCTGGGCAAGGCAAGCTGGAGCAACTGACAGAAAAGAAGCCCAGGTGGGAAGCCGAGTGATGGCCTAGGCCCACTTGTTGCTCTCCCCGGGAGAAACCCAGCCTGAAACCCATCCCTCTTTGGCCCCATTCTGCCAGCAAGTCAGCCTTGAGCAACAGCCCTGCCAGTTCCTGCTCTAATGCATCATTACCATGCACACTGGCAAATCAGTGGGTCTTGAGAAGAATTAAACAGCTCACTGGTTTGGCCTCCAACTCTAACGTCCCAAAATGTTACTTGACTTCACAGCTGGTCATCACAGACATGCCGCTGACCAGGTCACAAGTCAACACTAAGGCAGAGTAACATCTTTCCTCTAGCTGAGACCCTGATCACGCCAACTGCATGGTGGAAGGCAGAGATGGGAGAGGGTGGGGCCAGAGAGGAGCAGCAGTTTTGGGGAGAGGAAAGGCACCTGCTGCAGGCCAGACCCCCAGGAAGGAGGAACATCATACATAAAATGTGAGATGTGGTGGGGAACTGTGACAGCAGGGGCATGAGCCCGAGGAGGGCAGAGCTGAGACTCCAGGCACCTGGAAGCTCGGAGTCCCTTCTCCACACTCACTTCCCCAAAACGAACGTAGGGGAGGCTCATGTGAAGAAGGGGAATCCGAAAGCCTCTCCAGATCAGAGCCCTCCAGACCACTCCCTGCTGTATAAACTCCTAGCAGGAGGTCATTAGGAAGGGGCCCACTCGTGCCCCCGCAACACCTCCTTACCGTCATAACCACAACAGAAATAATGTATGCCTTAAAAACACATTTAGGATCAGGTCAAAATCCCCATCGGAAACAACTCTCAACTTTCTTGCCATCTTGATTCTGCATTAGTCTTCTACATCAGGAATACCTTCTACATCTGCCTACATTCTAGAGCACAGAACTGTTCTCCCTTGGTTCCCAGCCTAATACTGCATACTGGTCTGGCTGGAATGCAAATAACCTCCATTAAGATTTGCAGACAAAGGCCTGGGTCTCCAGCCCTCAGTCCAGACCTTCATTCGGTCTGATAGGTCAGTTAAGTGGAGGAAGCCCAGCCTTGTAGGTAGCAAGGTGGGTTTTCTAAAAATGATGTCAGAGGATTGGCAATCGGTCCGGGTGGAAGGAGGAATGAATGGCTTTATCCTGTTTTCTCTGGCCTAACACTTGCTGTCACTCTCCCTGGCTCCTAAAGCTTCTGGCTGCCCCAGCCCTGTGCCCTTGCTTGGTCTCCCAAGGGTGGGGAGGGGAGGTGGGAGAGGTTGTGGCTAAGGAGTTCACTTAGGTTGACTCAGTCATCCTGAAAATGGTCCCACGTGAACCAAAACCTTTGGTTCATTTAACACTAGAGAGCAACTGCTTCAGGGCCATGGGTGCTGTCAAACTCACCATGGGTGATGGCAACCTGGGTGGAGTGTGGGCGTTTTCTGGAAAGAGGTTCTCGGTTGGGGCTCCCCCAAACTGTCTCTTGCTTTCTGTTTAAGCAAACCCCTTCCCTTTCTCCACGTGGAGGACGCTTAGGAAACAGCGTCAAAGTGAACTCACAGACAAGACGGCCTTAATAAATTAGTGTAATACTGTTAGAGGGGATGGCATCTCGTTGTTTCTTAGCAGCATCGTCCTACGTGCAGCCTGATGAGCTCCTTCCCTGGGAAATTTAAAAAGCCGTCCCCTGGTTGTTAGCTCTGATGTAAAATTATAAAATAGAAATCTGGTAGGGTTTGTTTTGTTTAAAAAGGAAAAGCCCTGGTGAGGCAGGGCGGTCCCATGCAGTCCTGTTAGCTCTGGCCGTTGGGTCTGCCGACGGTGTTCCCTCCGGGAGGCTGGATCTGGATGGAGTCCAGAAGGGGCCGCAGTGCCTGTCCAAAGGGTCTGCAGAGGAGACAGAGGTGGGAGCTGGGGTGGGCTCTTGGATGCAGACGGTGGCAGCTCAGCCCCAGAGGTGGGGCAGGGGTTAGGGGGCGGGCGGCAGCAGTGGCAGCAGCGCCACACCAGGAAGAAGGCACCATCACCTCCTTTACTTTTCTCACCTCCTCACACACCAGCTTTCTTAGAGGAGAGCTCTGAAACAGCCCGTTCTGCTCCCCTACCCCCCACCCCACCCGGGTCCCCTTCCTCAGTAGTGCTACCGTCTCAGAACCTTCACCTCTAGATCCTCTGTAGGCTGGGGTTTGAACAGGCTGGCTACAGACAGGGAACCAGAGCTTTCGGTACTTTCTGTACTTGTACCTTTAATTCTTTTGGTATAAGAAGATAAAAATAAAGTTTGACTGAGGCAAAAGAAAAAAGATACGAAAAAGAAGATAAAATCAGGAGTGAGGTTGGCATCCAACTGGATTCTTTCAGGAACTGAGGTCTTTCGGGAGTACAGGGAATATTCGGGAAAAATGATAAATGCCAGGTTGACAGAAGATGTTAATGCTACTTTCTGAAGGGCTCCTGCTTTGGCCTCATAGGTGCTTAACTAAAAACAACACCGCATGAACTGGAATTTGGAGACTTTCCGAGATTCCTGCAGCCTTAAATCAGGCTGCCCACATTTCAATCACTGGCTTTCTTTTTCTTCAGTGGATACCGCTAGTTTTATAAAGCAACCCCAAGTTCAGAGGGAATGAAGTACTCCAGAGTATAAATAGATGAAACAAAGAAATATCAACCCTTACTCAGACAAACCCAGGAACTCCACCCCTCAAATAATACCAGCAAGAACATTCCAGCTACTCGAGTTTGCTCAGGGCCCGGTAACCTAGATCCTTCAGGAAGGCTGTGGGCTTTAGTACGCCCACCAAGGGCTGGGAAGGCAGGGCTGAGGTTGGGAGACTGGGGTTCCTCACCAGCCTGAGACCACAACCTTACTTCCCCACCTTGCTGAGCCTGCCAAACCTGCTGGGATCCCTGTTGGACAGGGCCCTAGTCAGGAGAAACCAAGTCAGGGTCACCAAATGGATGTGGTCCTAGAGTGGGGACAGGTTGCCTGAACGCAATCAGTGGCAGAGGGAGGGAGGAAGGGATGACTCTGAGTGCGTGTGTGTGTCCTCTCAGGGAACACTGCCTGGAGCATGGCCCACAAGGCCCTCCAAGGCTTGGACCACAACAGGGAGGAGGGGCTACAGAATGTTCTTGAAGAAAACATCACTGAGGGCTGACTGTGTGCTCCCTCAAAGAGCTCATGGTGCCATGGAAGATAGACTAACAAACAGCAGTTACAAAACTAGCCCCTGCTCAGTTTCTGACCTACACTCGGCTCGTCTATCTAAAACCGGGCACTTCCAGCAAGTGCCGTGCTCGCGCACAACGGGAAAGGCAGACGTCAGAACCCTGTATGAGTACTGCAGCTGGTGTCAGGAGGGTTTCTAAGTTCTGCAGTTACACCTAGGCCAGGTAGAGCTGGTCCAACACCAGGCAGGGTGAAGGTAACACAGGTAAGCATCGGTGAGTGGAGAGAGTGGTGCCCTTCTGTGTTAGAAACTGCCCCCATGACAGGTTCCACCTGGCGTGGGCTGCTTCTGCTGAGTTAGGGGAGGGCAGATATGGGCCAGAGGAGGGGCACTGACTGTTAGTGACTGTTAGTGGGGATCTCAGAGGCTGGGCAAGCCGGGGGCAAAAACAGAGACTTACGTGGAGAGAACTTCAGAGGGAAGGTCAGTGATGTAAGAAGGGATCTTCCGCCCGGTCAGGAATTGGGCCACTTCGTTGCTGAAGGTGTTACAGTTGTGTTCAAAGAGGTTGTAGGCCTCACCTCTGGACATTGTGAGAAAGGTTTGGAGAACAGATATAAGCACGTAAGCAAACATCTACATGAAATCAGTCAAACCAGGTAATGGAAAGGTTAGCACAGCTGCATTTGAGCACTGTGATTTCCCTTCTCTCTTACACTCCAAAAGGACTGCTAGATTTGAGACATCAGAGAAATATGGCCAATCTGGCCCTTTACAAATAGATTTTTAAGGGAAGTATGAAATGAAAACTAATGGGTCCTATACAGTTTCAGAAGAATCTTTATAATCACCAAAGCAAAGCTCTGGGGTTAGAGCTTAACTCCTTGGAGTCAACTAAAGGTTCTTTAAGAGAAAATCTCCTCAAATTTGTATTTCACCCGGCCCCCTCTACAAACCCTGCTTTTGATTTTCATGACAAAGCACTTGGCCAATACAGGTTGAGAACAGCATTTGCTGAAACAGCAGCGGCCAATTTTAATCAGAAGGAACAAACAGCCCCCCCTTTCTGTCAAAATTTTCAGACTAGGGTGGAATATCTGCCTCAGGGCAACTCTGGGCTCTTCCTGTGGCATGAGAGCTGCCTTCTCTTCATATTCATGCAGCTGATACTGGGCCAGGCCTTGTGCTGAGTGCTCTGGGGAGTATGACATGGTGGCTGCCTGCTGGGGGTCGATTATCTAATGGGGGAGACAGACACAACTGACCACCACCCCTGGTTCCACTCACCGGAACAGAGACTCCCCCAGGGAAGACAGGTACTCCAGAAAGATTTCTTCTGTGACTTCTGTGCTCCCTACATCAACCACAGAGTCTGGGGGCCCAAGCAATGTCCCTCCCTAAAAGAGTCGACCCAAAGAAAGTCATTAAGTCATCATTTCCATCGCATTTTTAAATGTGCCTTCTTGTGGAAGGCCACAAATGCTCTGTTCCAACTTCATTTTTAACTTTGAGTATCCTGGGCAGATGAAGCGTATTATTTCCTATTTGTATCGAGGCTACAATGGCTTAGGGCTTTCTGGAGACTCTATTGCCATGTGCCAGCAGCGTGGCTAAGAAGTTGGAATTTCTTGTTTCTGGTGGAGCCCAGGGAAGCTGAGTCTCTTGCAGGACTGATTCCTTATGCTGTCCAGACATTCAGTTGATAAAAAGAAGCCCAGAATCTGGTCTCCTTTTGTCCCTAACAAGCCTGATCATGAGGGCAGAACAGGACAATGAGAAATGGCTTCCACTCAATAGGCCATCTCTCCATGGCTATATGCATAAAGTGTGCAGCCAATTTCTCTTTGTAACACACTTGATATCCCTTGTGACAATGGGAAAATGTGAAGGACTGTGAGAAATCTGGTAGGCTGGCAAATATTTCTACAACTCAGTTCTTTTTTGATTTGTGAGGCTTATCCAATGGTGGTGATGGGGTTCCCCAGACAAGGGAGTTAATGGCCCTTAAAAGAAAAACAGAAACCTTTAGCCATAGGGTTAACAGCCAGCCATCACTGGGGAAACCAGCCAGGATCCAAAACCAACAGGATCACTGGAAAGGGGTTGAGGAATAAAGAAGAACATTTCAGAACAAAAGCCCCTGAAAAGATCATTAACCACATTTCAATAGTTATTGAGAACCTACAATATGCTTGACTAAGGACACCACAGTGAACAGGATCGACAATTATTGTAGTCGGAGAATAATTATCCCAGAGTTGGAAAAGACTAAGAGGTCACTATTTGACCCTGTTATTCACCCATATAACAAACATGCATTAAGAACTTACTATGTGCCAGGCCCTATGCTAGAGACTGGGAGTATGATATGGACAAAACAGATGAGATTTTTGCCCTCATGCAAGGCAGACAAAAAAAAAAAAAAAATCCAATAAACCAATGTATAATAAATTGCAATAAGGGTCTTGCTAAAAAGCAGAGAATGCCATGAGTATATGTGACAGGGGACCTACCCAGTCTGAGGGGTCAGGGAAGACTTGCCTGCAAAAGCGACACTGAATTCAGATCTGAAGGATGAGGAGACATTAACCAGGTGAAGGAGCAGTGAGGTGTGCTGATGTCAGATACAGGTTTAAATGTCCAAGGTGTGTTTAAGGAATGAGAAGAGGCTGGGGGTGGGGGAGGGCACAACTCAAAAACAGGCCAGAGAAGGAGACAGAGACCAGATCAGCTAAGGCCTTGAAGGCTATGCTGAGCTTTCTGGGTTTTATTCCAAGAGCAATGGGAATAAGAGGGGAATGCCATGACCAGATTTTCCTTTGAAAAGGTCGCCTGGCCTCCTGAGTGGAGAGCTGACTGCCGAGGAAGAGGAGGTGCACGGAGACCAGGAGGTCAGTGCAGTGGCCCAGGCCAGACATGAGGGCAGCCTGGATTAAGGTGAAAGTTCTGGAGAAATGGGAACAGTTGGATTTAAGATTCATTTACAAGGCAGAACTGACTGGGTTTGAAGAAGGATTTGCTTTAGTATGACTTCCAATTTATGAGTATCAAACGAACGGTTGCTGGGTCTTTGCTTGCGCACCTCATGTGACAGCCCTTGGATAGCTCTGATAATTTATATACATATACATATATATATATATGTAGTACTTTAGGTGAAGGTTTACAGAGCAAATAGTTTCTCATTAAACAGTCAGTACACATATTGTTTTATGACAATGGTTAACAACCCCATGACATGTCAACACTCTCCCTTCTCGACCTTGGAGGACCTTTTTTTTTTGGTGAAAATATACATAGCCAAAGATACACCATTTTAAAATATTTCTACATGTACAATTCAGTGACATCGATTACGTTCTTCCAGTTGTGCTGCTATTCTCACTTTAGATGAAGGTTTACAGAACAAAATAGTTTCTCATTAAAAAGTACACATATTGCCCTATGACAATCGTTAACAACCCAACTATATGTCCGCACTATCCTTACTCAACCTTGGGTTCCCTATCACTGGCTTTTCTGTCCACTTCTGCCTCCTAGTCCTTGTCCCTGGACTGCTGTGCCTCATTAGTCCCGTTTTGTTTTATGGGGCTGTAGCCGTGATAATTTTTTTGGAAAAGGGCATGTGTTTTAGAGAAACCTAAGTTCTAGTACTGGTGCCACTTACTGGCTGTGTAACTTGGGGCAACCCTACCTCTCAGAGCCTTCATCATTCAGCTTAATACTGGCTAAGTTCATACTATGAGCCAGTCACTGTGCTGGTGATGGGGATATAAGAGTAAGTCACTGTCCAGCCCACAGAGAGCTTACACACAGTCCCGCTGCAGCAGAAACAGCCCATTTCACTCAAATGTGCTCAGTATGAGACACAAGTATGTGGGAGCAGAGAAAAATTGGCTGGGGGGCCTGGGGAAGGACTGTTATGAGGAACTATGCCACCGGCCTCCACACACTGGGCAAGAAGCCAGAAGGGAGACAGTGAAGTAGAGTTCCTGGTCTGTGGGAACCCCCCTGCTGCTCAGGCTGTGGAGGAGGGCACTCACCGGGGGACAGCTGGAGATACCGCCACTGCCAAAGAAGAACTCATCCTTGTGTACAACTATGGAGGTATGCCTGCCACACAGAGAAGAGACAGAATGAGCCAGAAAACTTTAAACTGGTCAGAAAAAAAGCAAACACCACACCGCACCGAGAATAATTTCTGCCCAAGGATATGACTGTAGTAAACAGCCATATAAAACATACCAAACAAAGGCACGAGTAAGATATATACCATGGATCAGAGTTTTTCAACCTTGGCACTACTGACATTTTGGGCCAGATAATTCTTTGTTGAGGGGGGCTATCCTGTGTATTCCAGAATGTTCAACAGTATCCCTGGCCTTTACTCACTAGATGCCAGTATCACCTGTCCCTCCAGCTGTGACAACCAAAAATGTCTCCAGATGTTGTCAAATGTTTCCCGGGGGTAGGGGGTTGGGCAGAATAGCCCCTGGTTGAGGACCACCGCTGTAGACCATGTAAGTGGGGGGGGGTCCCTATTCACCCTGATATTGACACATCAATGACTGAAATAAAGCTCTACAGACCAAGGTGTGTTCCTAGGCTTCTAAAGCTGATGTGAGCAGTTAACCTGGGCCATGCTGAGGAACAGACCAGATGATGTTAAGTGTGGATCTATTTCAGGTTAGAGTGCTCATATTACTTCTTGGTTCTAGTCAACCAAAGCACAGGGTCTTTCTGCTCAACCCAAATGTTAGCAGGCTCTAGAAATCCAGATGGAACACGTGCTGACCTATGGTTTCCTCAAAAATGGGACTGAGAGCTCAGTCACCATGCTGGAGTCTCACAGGGAAGGTCTAGTACTGAGACACCAAGAAGTAGCTGTGTATTAAGATGAAAATGTGGGGCCCTCAAGACTTCTGTGCTTAGAAAGCTTGGTCAGGGGTGGAGACAACAGTGTTTCTCAACATTGGCACTACTGACATTTTGGGCGATATAGTTCTTTGCTGTAGGGGACTGTCCTGGGCACTGTAGGATGTTTGGCAGCACCTTGGTCTCTACCCACCCAACAAAAATGTCTCCAGACATTGCCAAATGTCCCCTGGGGGGCAGACTGGTCCCTGTATGAGAATCACCGCTTTAGGACTTGAAGATTCAAGACATGGAGAGCAAGATTTCAAGCTGAAAGCCACAGACTGGAACATGAAATGCATGAGGTGTTGCTTTGTTTTATAAACCAATCAACTTAAGGAGTCCACCCAACTTACCAGATGCCTTCCAGTTGTTTCCCTGTGGAGAAAAGAAGAGATTTAGCCACTTGGGACTGGTCTAAATGGCCTCCCAGCCTGAGTAAATTCAGAATACCACTCAAACCCAGAGTAACCTGTTATAAACCTCTTGGGGGGTTTTCTAGGAATGCAACTCTTTTCCAATAAGCAAAGACCACACTGCACTAAGAATAATTTGCCCAAGGATCTGACTGTGGTGAACAGCCTTATAAAACTCATCAAACAAAGGCATGAGTAAGGTACACACCATAGATCAGCACCCTTAGATTGTGCTAAGTGAGTTGAAAAGTGATACGTATCCTTTATCAGAACCCAGTGTAAACACACTGTATAGATAGATGTACCCCGACTTTATGCTTGCTCTTCTTTCTCCTTTGGAGTCAACTCAACTTTGCCTTTTTCATTTCTCTAGGTCTTATCTATAGTAAAATTATAGTAAAATAATAGTATAGAAAAGTTATTACCCATGTTTTCATTGAGCATATGTGAGGTGAAATTGTTCAGAAAATGACAAAGCAAAACTTTGAAAATGCCATCCACTTGAATAGTTAATGCGCATTTTTATTCCATGCCTACTAAGTGCCAGAAACTCTGCTAGGTGAGGAAATGTGAATATGAACAGATCACTGCCCCGCCCTTAAGGAGCTCAAAGGCAAATGGAAAGAGACCCACTTACGTAAATAATTAACTAAAACACAATACTGATAAGCTCTGTAATAGTGGTCAAAATAACATGAGGTGCTGCACATGACAAAGAACTACCTTCCTGAATGGCAGTTCAACTGGTGACTGTGTAAGAGCAGGGATGGATGTTTCTGCCAGAGGAAACAGTAGCTATGGATGTGAGGAAGACTGAGGTCCTGAGGGTAGAACAAAGAATGTAGTGATGGTAGGAAGAGGCAAATTGGCTAGCAGGGGTACCAGCAAAGCAGTTTGGACTGGGACTGAAGGCTGTCCTACACTGGGACACTGAGCAGGGGGAGGGGCACTGAAGGTTGTTAGACAGTAAAGGGTCTCTATCGGGTCCATATTTTGAGAAGATAACAATAGTCACAGCACAGAAGATGAACCAGAGGAAAGAGAGTTGAGAGAGTAGACTAGAGGGAAGTGACCATCGCAATACTCTGTGCAAGATATTAAATGACAGTACTAGGGATGAAGGAGCCCTGGTGGCGCAGTGGTTAAGCATTTGACTGCTAACTGAAAGGTAGGTGGTCCAAACTCACCAGCTGCTCTATGGGAGAAAGATGTGGCAATCTGCTTCTGTAAAGATTACAGCCTTGGAAACCCTATGGACCAGTTCTACTCTGTCCTATAGGGTCACTATGAGTCGGAATTGACTCAACGGCAATGGGTTTGGTTTCTGGGTTTTAGTACTAGGGATGAAGAGAAGGGCAGTGAAAGATGAGAGAACATCAAACATCCCTCACTTACCTTTGGTTTTATAATTCCACATTGTTTGCTGACTGGCCACTGTTGTTCTCCGTGTTTTGCCCTGTGACTTTTTAAGGGGTGGACCTAAGTGCTGTGTGGAAGGAGAGTCACGCGCTTGTGCTTACCTTTGCATGGGAGGTACGTTATTTCCTTTCCCAGGTAAATTATGGAAGGTCAAATAAATACCTTGCCCCTTTAAGAAAGCTTTTAAATGACATGACATCAGCCTCACTTTCTTCTTTGGAAAAGACAAAAGAAACCACAGCTCCTCCATGATGCCCTACTGATGGCTCAAACCAAAAAACCAAACCAGTTGTTACTGAGTTGATTTCCAACTCATGGCAACCCCGTATGTTGCAGAGTAGAACCGCACTCCATAAGGTCTTCAAGGCTGTGACCTTTTGAAGCAGACTGCCAAGCTTTCTTCCCAAGGTGCCTCTGAGTGAGTCTGAACCATCAACCTGTCAATTAGTAGTCGAGCACTTGACTGTTTGCACCACCCAGGACTCCTATACTGATACTCAGCACAGTGTTATTAGAGGTGGCTTTTCCAATTGCTAGTGGTGGATCTTGGGCCAGACTACCTAACTTCCCTGAGCCTCGGTTTCTTCAATACAGAGTTGTCATGAGCAGTAATGATAATGTATATAAAGCATCCCAGTATGATGTGCATAGAAGTTTGGTAAATGGTAGCTATTATTAGGTAAACATGGCCTCTTTGGGGAAAGGTGTGAAGTCTTCCAAAAGATAAAATAAATTCCACTTCAGAATTCGAGGAGGGATAGTGGTGTAAGAGTTAAGAACAGATTTCAGCATCCAGCAAATTAATATGAAATGTTGCATCTATTTTACACAGACATGTTTTACACTTAATACTGCCAGGCTTAAATGGAATGACAAAAGAAAATGAAATGTAGCAGAGTTCTTCCTCTCCTCCAATTCCAGAGACCACTCTGCTTTTCACTAAGAGATCTGCTCTGGCCAACAAGATGAGAGAGAGAGAACACGAACAGAGGGATTCTGGTCTGGGGTTTCTGGGGTAGGCCCCGAGAGACCATGGGGCAGGCTCTGTACTTACCTAAACCAAGCTGACATTCCACAGAGGTGGATGGGAACCAGAATGGATGCCAAAGGGGAGTGGTAATCCATTTAGGACAGGCATCCTCACATGCTGGGTTCTACTGTAGGGTCGCCATGAGTCTGATTGGACGGGTTTGGTTTTTGTTTGGTTTACTGGGCTTTAAAGATAAACTGGGTTGGATTCTCATCTCTTCCAGCTGTCTCTAAGCAACCATACTAAGTCTCCTCTTCTTGTTTACTATGTGTAAAATGGGGAGACTAACATCGCATTTTTAAAAAATAATTATTTTTGTTGTTGAGAATATACCCAGCAAAATTTCAACAGTTTCTACATGCACAGTTCAATGCCATTGATGACATCTTTGAGTTGTGTAATCATTTTCACCCTTCCTCTCTGAGTTGTTCCTCCCCCATTAACATAAAGTCACAGCCCCCAAGCTTCCTATCGAATCTTTGCAGTTGCTGTTATCAGCTTGATCTCATATAGATAGATCTTAAAAGAGCACAATGCCCAAGGCAGACATTCTTTACTAGTTAAGCTCAACTACTCTGTGGTTTTAAGAAGACTTCAGGGGATATTTTTGGTTTAAGGTTTAAAGATGATTTCAGGGCAACAGTTTCGGGGGTTCATCTAACCACCACTGGTCCAGACATTCTGGATTCCATAAGAATTTGAAATTCTGTTCTGCATTTCTCCCCTCTGATCAGGATTCTTATATAGAATCCTTGATCAAAATGTTCAGTAACATTGCATTTTAAATAGAGCCAATGTGCTCTTCTGGACTGCCATTTATAAAACAGCCTGCTGTCTAAATGGCAGCACTTTATTTCCCTGAAATCACGTAGTGATGCAGTGAACCTGGCCAGATTAGGCATAGTACCTGCTTTCTCCTGTGCATTCCTTTCAAATGAAGTCTCTCTCATTCACTGTGGGAGGAGCATTATGCTCCTAAGAGAGGGAGTATAGTGTAGTGAATAAGAACAGAGGTTCTGGTGTGGACGGGCCAGGTCTGAATCCTACTAATTCAATCCGTAAACTAATGTTTATTGAGTGACTATTATATTCTAGACACTAGGTTAAGTACTTGGCTGCCAACCAAAAGGTCCACAGTTCGAACCTACCAGCTACTCCATGGGAGAAAAGACCTAGCAGTCTGCTCCTGTAAAGATTACAGCCTAGGAAACCCTATGGGGCAGTTCTACTGTGTCATATAGGGTACCTATGAGTTGGAATCGACTCGATGGCACACAACAACATCAACATTCAAGGCACTAGGGATATATCGGTAAGCAAGAGACAAAAAAAATCTCCTTCATGGCACTTATGGGGTAGGGGAGGGAGATGGTCAAATAATAATAAACATAATAAATCAGTAAATTATATAGTATAGTATGAGGGATACAGAAAGAATAAGAGCAGGATAAGAGTACTGGGAGTTTCAGGAGTGATCAGGGTGGGCTCCTTTGAGAAGGTGACATTTGAGCAGAGACTTGGAGAAGGCAAGGGAGAGAGCCATGCAGAGGTGGGACACATTAGGTTTATCTACGGGACTGTAAGGAGGCCGGTGTGGATGAGTGAGGGGAGAGGAGGTGATGAGCAGAGGTAATGGAGGACAGATCATACAGACCTTGCAGAGGTTGAGAACTTGTCTAAGCTGGAGCTGTCCAATATAGTAACCACTAACCACATGTGGCTGTTTAAATTAAAATTAAATAAAAATAAAAATTTGGCTCCTCAGTTGCACTAGCCACATTTCAAGTGCTCAATAGCTACATGTGGTGAGTGATTACTTATTGATAGTGCCCATCTAGAACATTTCTATTACCATAGAAAGGTCTATAGAACAATGCTGCTTAAACCTAGTTTCCTAACCTGTATAATAAGTGTCTACCTCATAACATAGCCAGAATTGAAAGAGACGACACGTGAAATATGTCTAGCACAGTACCGGGCACATAATACGTACCCAATAAAGGTTATCTCATTTCTTTTAGGCTTTATAATTTGAAAGTTTGATGGCTGCCCTTATGTTGTTGTTGTCAGATGCTATCGAGTCGATTCTGACTCATGGTGACCTCATGTGTGCAGAGTAGAACTGCTCCATAGGGTTTTCAAGGCTGTGACCTTTCAGAAGCAAATCGCCAGGCCAGTCTTCCGAGGTGCCTCTGGGTGGGTTTGAATCATCAATCTTTCTCAGCTAGAAGTTGAGCACTTGATCATTTGCACCAACCAGGGAACTGTGGCTGCCCTTATAATACCTTGTTATTGACCAAAAAAACCCACTGCCATCGAGTTGATTCCAACTCATAGCGACCCTATAGGACAGAGTAGAACTGCCCCTTAGGGTTTCAAGGCTGCAAATCTTTACAGAAGCAGACTGCCCCATCTTTCTCCCGTGGAGCAGCTGGTGAGTTTGAACCACCGACCTTTCAGTTAGCAGCTGAGCTCTTAACCACTGCGCCATGAGGGCTTCTACCTATTTATGT